AGGGGCGTAACATTTCCGTCACAGGCTTGAGGTATTCGGCCAATCACAACGCACTGGATAGCTGGCCAATCAGAGAACACCTCGCTTTTCAGACCGATGAGCTTTGTAAAAATCGACGCGTTTCAGAAAGGCGGGGCATAGAGGAGAAACAATAATGTACAGTATGTGGAAAATAATGTGTGTTTTGAACCTTAAAAAGCATAAACATTTCTTTACACCAAATACACAAAATAATGTTCTTTTTAGCAACATCATATGACCCCTTTAAAGATAATGTACTCACCCCCTTGTCATCCAAGATGTTCATGTCTTTCTTTCTTCAGTCGTAAAGAAATTATGTTTTTTGAGGAAAACATTTCAGGATTTCTCTCAATATAATGGACTTCTATGGTGCCCCCGAATTTGAACTTCCAAAAAAATGCAGCTTCAAAGGGCTCTAAACGATCCCAGCCGAGGAAGAAGGGTCTTATCTAGCGAAACGATCGGTTATTTTCTTAAAAAAAAACAATTGATATACTTTTTAACCTCAAACGCTCGTCTTGTCTAGCTCTGCGTGAACTCTGTTTTTTCCGGTTCAAGACAGTTAGGGTATGTCGAAAAACTCCCAACTCATTTTCTCCTCCAACTTCAAAATCGCCCAACATATTATTTTTTTTCTTTAGAAAATAACCGATCGTTTCGCTAGAAAAGACCCTTCTTCCTTGGCTGGGATCGTTTAGAGCCCTTTGAAGCTGCATTTAAACTGCATTTTGGAAGTTCAAACTCGGGGCCACCATAGAAGTCCACTCACTATATGGAGAGAAATCCTGAAATGTTTTCCTCAAAAAACATAATTTCTTTACGACTGAAGAAAGAAAGACATGAACATCTTAAATGACAAGGGGGTGAGTACATTATCTGTTAATTTTTGTTCTGGAAGTGAACTACTCCTTTAAGCCATAAAATAGGTTTGTATGAAGAACAGACCAAAACAGACAGTATGGCAACATGGAGTATAGCGCACAATGTATGGACTACGTTTACGATCATTTTAGTATGCTTCTATGTTTTTTGGTCTTTTTTTTTTTTTGGACATTTCAGATGACTATAAACTGTGGTGGCATAAGCAAGAGATTCGTAACAATTGTACAGAAATCACACAGGTCTGGAACACGTACTCATGAGGGTGAATAAACAACGGCAGAATTCTCATAGTTGTTTGCTGAACTATCCCTTTAATTAAAATTCCATAACAGAATAACATTGGTCTGTGGCTCCTTCAGAAATCGTACATACTGCAGGATTTTGGTCAGAGTTCACGATTGAGTAAAAACATGTGTATGTTCAGAGTGCAAGAGAGGCCAGAATGTTCAGTCCAATCTCAGCCCACAACAGGACACTTAATCACACTCATCCATTATGTGATTCACAGAATGATGAAATCACTGGATTAATAACTCTAATAATGATCTATTACAAGTGTGCTCTGTCGCGAACCCGGTTTAGGAGAAAGCCGCTGAGATTATAGAAATTTCAGAGTGCACACAGGTGGACAGGTTGAGTCAAAGCACTGGGAACCAGCCCCGACCACACAACCCTGGAGATTAAGAAGAACCTGGACAAAACAGCTTTACAAACTCCATCAGAAACCAGAAGCACAGCGTGAACTACAGCAACGGCCAGTAAGATGTGATGAATCAGTCCATCGCCCTACAGCAGGAGGTTTAACATGCCAACACCGCACGCAAACATGCGCCTCAAGATGTGGAAATGAACACGGAAAAATCCAAATTTCATTCCCACATATCATCGCTTTCTGAAATAGAAGCTGTGTTTAAAAATGAATGTTGTGCTGGAACTTTTCACAGTGGAAATACTGATTCATAGGGTGTTAGAAAGCAATCACAGAAATGTACAATCTCAGAAAAAAGGTACAAAACTGTGACTAGGGCGCTACCCTTTTAAAAGGTATTAGGATGTACACTTTAGGTACTAATATGTTCTTATAAAAAGTACTAATATGTACAATTAAGGAACCAATATATACCATTTGTTGGTAAATAAGGTACAGAGATGTACCGTTTAACTTTTAGTGTTCTTTGTACCTTTTTTTCAGTGTGTATGTTAAAAATGGTCTGTTCATTTTTGACACTTACCGTAGAGGGTAACTTCTTAGCAGCTTCTGTAATCACCTGACTCAGAGGCCTCCATAAGTGGAAAGCATATCGACCTAAAAGCAAATGTAATAAAAGGAAAAAAGCGTTGATGGGTTGAAAAGTGTGCCACTTGATCAGACCATTTACAGAGTTAATTTCCAGGGTTAACAGAGTTGGTTTAAGGGTGAAACCAAGGACAAAACCACATTTTAGTCTTATTCAATATGTGTTAAAGGTGAGGTCGCCTTTCAATTTCCCTTGGTATTTATTTGGTCAGGGTGCTGGTGAACTGCCAGCGGTTGTGGTTTGACTGTGAAGCAACACACTGAAAGTCCGCAGCACTCAATGAAATGAACATATAATGCTTTCGAACATCCAGCATTCAATAAAGAAGCTGTGAAAGGCCATTGAGCGGCTCATTTTATCCAACCAAACAGTAGGTGAAGAACACATGAAATCATTAAAGTAATTAATTATGGGAAAATTTTGGGATTTTCATTTCATCAAACTCAATTGTTGAGAGGAAAACGTTATTTTGCTTTTCAGCAAAAAAGCACTTGCGGCACCCTCCACTGTAATCCAAAGCCCTGCCTCTGCGCGGAGCAGACCACACACCGCCTCAGCTTTTGGCAGGAGCGCTGCCCCCTCGATGTACTGAAATGGGAATTAGCCCCCTTCCTCAAAGCGACCACAAGTGCTATTCCATCCTGACCTCACACAGCTATGGGTGGAAGACTTGGTGACTAACAATGATTAACTACCATGCAGCAGTAGGGAGGATGGCAGAGACACCTGCCAGAAAAGAATCAAACGTAAACAGGCCGATGACAAAGTCGCTTAAATTATTTGGCCACATGCGACTGTTTAAAGTCGCTTTGATTCCTTTAATGCTAGAGGCCGCGTTGACCTCATTAACCAGGGTGAGTTTCATCTGGGGGCTTGAACAAACACTCACAGTAAGAGTGGCTTAACCATCACCCTCATCATCGTCGCCATCATCTCGAGTGCTTCCAATCCTTTAGAATCACATCATAAATATCTGTGGGCAGCTTTAACGTACGGAAAGTTTAGCTAAATATTTTAAGAAGACAAAGGAGGAAAAAACTTTTATTACATTATACAATGGCTACTCTATCCCACTGTGAACCGCAACATGAGGGATTTTAGCTTACAAACATCCTGCCTAGAAACATAGCCTGTGCCAGAACGCAAACACGAAAGCTTCGCCAACACGGTGTTCCAAGAGTGCTGATATCTAGTTCAACAGCACTGGGACTTTTCACTGTTGATATCACTTTACTTGTCTGTGTTTGTGCTTTCTAGACAGACCGTCAGTCTGTGTATTAGTGGTGGGGAGCTGTCACTGATTCATTTAAGCACATTCATTCATTCATTCGGGATCGAAACAAGTGATTGTCTTTATGAGTGAGTATTTGAATCATTCCCTCAACTGTTTTGCTCTAGCACATCAATTCATTTAGGACTGAGATAATTGATGAGTGTTTTTATGAGTGTGTCACTGAATCATTTACTAAACCGATTTGTTCAAACACACCGATACATTCAGGATCAAAAAAGGTGCCTGGGTCACATTCACTAATAATTTTGTAGATTACTTCATATTTGCACACACAGGAGGACTTCTCATGAAAAATGTATTTCTAATTCATAACATGCACGTATGCGCATGAATTTGTACTTACAGGATTAGTACTTTCAGAATAAACATTTCCTGATAATTTACTCACAACCATGTTATCAAAGATGTTAATCTCTTTCTTTCTTCAGTCGAAAAGAAATTACGATTTTTGAGGAAAACATTGCAGCTTCAAAGGGCTCTACACGATCCGAGGAATCGGGGAATAAGGGTCAGTCGAGGAATAAGGGTCTTATCTAGATAAACAACCAGTCATTGGCCTAAATTTCTTTTTGACTGAAGAAAGACAGAAATAAAGAATGTTTTTATTTCTGGAAGTGAACTAATCCTTTAACCTTGGCTTGAGTACTCAACATGAGTGACCATGTGCCTGAGGTTAATATTTTTTCCTTTATAGCCTTTAATTACTTTTGGTGGCAAACATACAACACTTTCTAAAGCTGCGCACTTGCCAAAGAGCACATGCACAAAGATCCTCAAGCAATGCTATCCTCAAAACCAGTTCAATAAACACCTTTTATACACAGACCCAGACTACAGAACTCTCATTAGCCAGCCCTAACCATAACTGTGTTTTTACCAAGCGGCAACCTCTCTCTCATGAAACCAACATGAAGTGACTAAAACTGCAATTCATCGACTGGCCGCTAGAGGCTGGCTCCAAAAGGGAGTCAATCCCATAGACCCCCCCATGTTAAAATGCCTAACTTTACAGCAGAAAAAAATATATTTACAGCCTGGTACAAAAAGTGGTTTTGGTCTATATAGCTAATTTTGCCCTTCATGACAACTGTGAGGGGGGTGAACTTTTTTAGAACTCATCCGTTTAAATTATATTAAGCCTTAAAGCTCTGCATAATTAAGGGCGTGGCCATTTGAGTGACAGGTGGATTGCCGCTGCTGTCACCACCGTCGAGCTAGGTGGGCGTGGTTTCAGCAACCAGCTCCCGCCTCTTTGCTCATTTTCGATTATCCGGGAGTGACGCACTGCCAAGATGGCGACGGCCGGCTCCGCCTACTTTAGGCTTCAAAAACGCTCTTCGGAAACCTACGGGTGACGTCACGGACACTACGTCCATGTTTTTATACAGTCTATGGTTTTTACACAGTCTATGGTTTTTACACAGAGAAACCTTGCAGCTCGAGTTTATTAACACAGCTTTTCTTACTCTTTTACTGTAACGTGATGACATAGCAATGTATGAAATTTCACCTTAACATGATTATGAGGCCAAAAAATGGTAGGAACAACAGAAACCACACACAAGAAAAAAAATCGTGTATACTGATTTTTTTTCTCGTGTGTGGTTTCTGTTGTTCCTATATTTTTTATTTGTCAATTTAGAATAAATTTTAGTTTGAAAATTTATAATGATTTGCTCATAAAAACCTTTGTTTCCAGATCACACACATTTGCACCTAACATGCTTAGTGAATGAGATCTGAAGTCTTTATGAGTGAGTCATTGAATCATTGCCTCACTTATTCATTCAAGCAAACTGATTCATTCAGGATCAAAACAAGTGACTGTCTTTGTGAGTGAGTAACTGAATCATTTACTCAACTGATTTGATTAAACACACCGATTCATTCAGAAATAAAACACCACTAATGTGATCTGCTCAGACATGCAACAGTAAATTCTGCTTCAAATCCATTTGGAAATATTTTTAATGGCAAAGCAAAAAAAGACAAAGTAACAGGCAAAAGTGCATTTAAAATGTAAGTTACTCAATACTAAATTCTTGTTTATTGAACTGCTGCATAAAAGCAGTAACACACTCACAATTGTGCTAATGCTGATATTTGAAACATCAGCTCTCTTACTTGTGTGATATCACTTAATTCTGACACGTTTTGGAACTCAAAGGTACATGAAATTGAGTTTGCATAGCAACAAGCTTGTATGCTTTGCTCTTAAAAACTATTGCAATTTGCTGAGGCTAACACTATCGTGTGTCATAACATGACAATATTGCGTAAACCAACTAAATGTGTAATTTGTCACATGGCTAATGCTATTAAATTGCTTATCACAGTCAACCCACGCAAGAAAATACAAGCAATCCAGTCTCCTCTGGAGTAATCTGAGGTTGAGCACTACCTCAAAAGCACAATGGTGATCAATCATCAGTTTGAACCGGTAGCCTTTGGTTCTCAGCCCAGAGCTTTAACCACTAGGCCATACCACACAAATTATATAAATGCATGTAGCATCTGCATGTAACACAAGTTTTAATGACAAACAAATCTCCAAGTGGATGCATACACAGGGGTCCAAAGCAGATGTGCTCACCTGCAAACCCTGCCGCTGCAACTCCCAGCCCCACTGCCATCAGACAGCCACCCTGAAACACACACACAAGCATCACATCACTATGATAATTAATAATAAACACAAGTCAATCGCTGGAAGAGAAGGATTTTAAGCATTAGACAAGGCACAAAAGGTTTTACAATAGCAGATCATTCAAAATGTAAAAACCAGACTAGACTTCCACTGGAAATTTAAGATTCTTCCTAGAACTGTTTTTGTTAATTCTAAAGAGTGTTTTTCCTGTATCTGAAAAATCCAAAAAATCCATAGACTTCCACTGACTGAGTGTTCAGTCTGACTGATGAATCATGGCATTGTATGATTCATGAGCTCATGCTTCAAATGTCATATAGTTCAGATGTAAACACACAGGCCCTTTAACCTTTAAGATGTTCTTTCTTTCTTTCTATCTATCTATCTTCTCAGACAATACCCCAAAATGAATAAAAAACACCCAGAATGCCCCAGCTACTACCTCAAAATGCATAGCAAAGACCTAGAATGCCCTAGAAACCACCAAGAACACCTTAGAGACCAATTAGTATCCATAAGGTGCATATAACCTTTTAACTTTCAAATAAGGCTTTGACAAACAAGATTGGCTTGACAAATGACTATACTTCTTAAATCAACTTGTACTTATAGCTTTTTGTGGGCCATAAATTGTTAATTTCCCATGTCACAACACTTACATAATCATTATTGGGCCATTTTTGTTAATGCATTAGTTTACATTAGGTGTTTGGCAATTTATATAACATTATAATTGTTATAACATCTCTGGTTAAAAAAAAAAAAGTCTTCAGATAAATGCTTTGAGTTTCAGATGTGAGCAGCAAGGTCAATACTATGGATGAGCACACTGATGAAACTCTCATGACACACAAGCTCAGCCATTTCATAGTAAAACAGTGTAAATGCTCCGGACTCTCCAGCGCGACATTTACTCACAAGGCGTTTGTCAATATCTGTCTCACTCTGCCCGGTGGATTTCGGTGTATATTCAGCATTTCTCATGAAGTCCCCCTCCATCACTACACGACTGGAGCTCGCCATGCTGATGATGACAGACACACCTACGGAGAAACCAGAGGGACAAACTTCGCGCTGCTGCGGGGTCTCGCGATTCCAAAACAAAGCAACGCGTTTTCATACCCCACAGCTTCATGTGCCCTAAACCTCCAAAACAAGCTGCAACTGCCAAGAATAATATATAATTAGATATATACCTCGTGTGTTTAAAAACCTTTCACGCACTATGTTTCATATGAATACTGGTGTTTAGCGGGGAATCCCACACAGAGAGACTATAACCAACTCCCTGTCAGTGCCAGTGAGCTGTTCTGGTGTATGTAAAGGTCAGGAATCACGCGACACAAGAATAAACTAACATGAATCGATCTACACATCTACAGAGAAACTCCAGAGGAAGCCGTGCATAGAGAGGAAATGAAATAAATCAAAAGACATAAAAATATGACGGACAGCGAGCAAACGAATGAAAACTATTGTGAGAATAACTCACCTAGTACTTCAAACCCTCAGAATCAGCCAACACGGTAAGTACAACAGAGAAATATCATGAATTTGACTCTCATACTAGGTTTATATACGTTTGATATAATAATAACAATATATTTATAAAATAATATATATGATAAAAATAAATATATGTACATTTTCTTTACATTTTTAACATATATCGTTATTTCGATGTGTTTGAGCAATCGATGGGTCATTTTGGCGATTAAATCTACATTTATTGCTATTTCTTTCTCTGTATATAAACCAGAAGCTACTTTAGTTTCACTTTCGATTCTGTAAAAACATTCTGAAGAAGCGAAACTCAGATAGGAATATGTACCATGGCAACCGAGTCCAAAATTACAGTATTGTGAGGAAGGCCAGTTTGTCTTGGATTCCAGACGCTCACATTTTCCTGTTTATCTCTCTTCGAATCATTAGAGATAGTAAATGACAACATTAAAACACATAAATAAATAGGCCAGTCAAATATCATTAAGAAACAAAACAAACCAACAAACAAATTCAACAATCCTCTGGTGGACAGTACAAATATGAGGTTTTCAATGTTTTGAGTAAATGTCTTGGCTAAATTTACCAACTATTTATAGCCTATACATTTTATTAAGTAGGCTACATCTATAATTTCTTAAATTCTATCCAAATGTTTGCCTTTATTTACATGGTGTAGTCTACATTGTTAAATATCATGTTTCATTAACTAACTATAGTAAAGGAATAAGCACATACTGCTATCACATGACAAAATGTTACTAAACAAACATCATTAACTACTGTGTAAATAAAAGCGATTTATTTGATCAAAAATGTAAATGCAAAGTCATAGTAATCGATATGTGATCTTTTTAACTATGTGAGAAGCTTTTTGTCATTTTAATTTTTCTCTTCTTTGATGACCATATTGCTTAGTGTAGTAACAATAACTGTATATTTATGATCTTTTTGCAGGAATTTGGTTGCATGGTGAATTTTTGTAAGGGGAATTCCAGTTATGTGTGTCCATGTCATTGGGTTGTTTATTAAATTAGGCCTAATTTGTTATTTACTGTAAAGTATGGAACTGTTGCCTGTACTCTTTATATTTGTGTTCAGTTGCATCATGCCTAATTCTAATCATTTTGATTTATACCACATGACTCACTGTTTTATGTGTCATCAGGCTGCACATTTGAGGTTATTTGTGATGTCAGGGGATCATCTATGATACAGATGTGTTTTGAAATGGATTTTGACAGCTGCATTATTTGGGGTGTGTGTATTGGGTCACCATCAAATATGATGGGGATGGAGGGGAAGTTCCCCAGAGTTGTTTGTGAAAAATTCTGACTTTACGTAAGAAAAGATGACTTGTGCCCCACCTTGGTTTGGAGACATTGCTGGCATATGAGACATCTGATAAGTTCACATGGATGGAGTCTGAACTTGAAAACAAATGTACCTAATGCATGCCATCATTTGCCCACAGTGCAGATGGATACACCAAGATACCACCAAATGAATCAAAATGGAGCAAACTGCAGAGGAGTAAGTCATGACACGACTGTTGTTGTATTTTCCATCTTCATGTGATCCAGATGTGTCTCTAATTGCTACCATCAAGTGCAATTTCAGCATGTTTATCTGTATCTGCAAGAGAAGACAGATTTCTCTTGTTGTTGTTAATGTAGTTCATTATTATATTAAGGCTGGAATACACTACATGATTTTTTAAATCTGAAAAAAAAAAACACATTTGAAAACACTAGCCACTAAACACTACACTTGCTAACTTTGGTTACAGAAAAAAAACGTAGCATCACTAAACGACCGAGGACTGAGTCGTTCTAAAGACAGCAAACTCACGCAGAAACAAGTGCATTGTTGCTAGGAGAATGATGAATTTCATGATGAATGAAAACAATATGTGTTCTAAAATTATAGCTTAAAATATCAAACATATTTGTGTAGAGCTAAAAAATCATGGTCTGTGCCCATCATACACAGTCCTTTAAAGAAGGAGGGGTTTGCAGTGATACAATACAAGAACATAAAAAAAACATGTTTTTCTTCGTGTGTGAAGAACATCAAAACAAACGTTTTACTATAATGAACATTTTTTGCAATGAAAAGTGTTAGTTAGATGATAAAGGTTTATTTTGTTTGTTTTTTAAGATTTTTAAATGAATAGTTCCTCCAAAAATTATAATTTGCTGAACATTTACTCACGCTCAGGCCATCCAAGGTGTTGGACAGATGTGAACAGATTTGGAGAAATTAAGCATTACATCACTTGCTCACCAATAGATCCTCTGCAGTGAATGGGTGCCGTCAGAATGAGAGTCAAAACAGCTGATAATAACATCATAATAATCCACACGAAGTGTCCTGTGAAGTCAAAAGCTGCATGTTTGTAATAAACAAATTTATCATTAAGATGTTTTTAACTTTTAAATCGTTGCATCCAGCTAAAATATGAGTCCTCTATCCATATGATTTTCTCCAGTGAAAAAGTCGTCTCGTCTGAATCAGAAGAGAAATATGTTTTTGTATGCAAGACAAAAACAGTTGTAAACAAATATGTCAATGGATTTTGATGTGTGATTTTGATGTGTGAGGACAACAGGGATGGCCTTTTTTTACTGGAGGAAGAGTTCTGGATTATTATGGACTCATATTTTGGCAAGAAGAAACGGTTTAAAGTTCAAACTCCTTAATAATGGGATTGTTTCTTACAAACATGCATAATTTCACTTCACAAGATATTAATTGATGGACTGGAGTCGTGTGGATTACTGTGATGTTTTTATCAGCTGTTTTGACTCTCATTCTGACGGCACCCATTCACTGCAGAGCATCCGTTGGTGAGCAAGTGATGAAATGCTAAATTTCTTCAAATCTGTTCTGATGAAGAAACAAACTCATCTATCTTGGCCTGAGGGTAAACAAATTTTCTTTTTGGGTGAAATATTCCTTTAATCCAGTGGTGCCCAATCCTGTTGATGGAGATCTACAGTAACTTCCAACAAAGTTCAGCTCCAACCCTGATCAAACACAACTTAACCAGCTGATTAAGATATTGAGGAGCACACGATAATTACAGACAGATGTGTTTGATCAGGGTTGGAACTCAAACCTGCTGGTAGGTAGATCCAGGAACAGTATTAGGCTCCCCTGCTTTAACCAAAATCTGAAGACTGACTCTAACTTTCAGCATCTAGCTTTGACTAAGGGGAAAAAACTGTGGGGGGGTTGTGCAAAAGTTGTGTAGTGTATTCCAGCCTTTAATTAATGTCTCTCTTAAAAATGTGTATTAATGTGCCATTGTCACAAACCCTATTTGTGTGTTGAAATAAAATGCATTTCTCTCTCTGCAGTTGCACAGAAAGAAGAGGAGGAACTGAGGAGATTGAAAGAGGAGAACCGCCCTGGTCCCATTCAGCTGGCTCCAGAGAGACTAGGTAATGTGGAGATGGAATATATGGAAGTCCTGATATGAAAAAAGACACAAAGCAAAGGAAAGAACATCTAAAGCTGCTAATGTATTCACTCTCACAGGTGGTGCAGTATCACTGGCAGAAGTCAGACAAAGACAGCAGGTGGAATCACGCCAGTCAAAGCAGAGAAAAAAGGTTTAGGAGTACCTGCTTCAAATTTATGGTCCCTTTCCCAAATACTTGTGGTGTGGTGCATACTTACAGTACATTTAAATATCTTTACAGCTTCAAAAAGAGGAAATGGATCAAAAGAAGAGACAGGCAGAGGAGGAGGAGAATGAGAAGATGAAGGCCTTACAGCGAGAGAAGGTACAGCTCAAGAAATTGTTTACATCTGATTTTTTATAGCGTTTCTACAGGGCATTGTGTTACACTCATGCATCTGCAAACTTCATATGGTCATCTGGCTTGTGTTTGGATTCAGTGCTTTTTTATGATGCCTTTGTAATTCAGACTTTATAACTCCAGATGTCACTGCAGGCAACTTACAAGTTATGTTCTTTGCAATTAAATACTATATTAGACTTCAGCCTTCAATGCTGCTGCTGCTGCTGCATGAGCTTTGCGTGATTGATGACTCTAATTATTTCAGCAGCCACACTTCATTTGCTAAAACATGCCCCGGTCACTGTTTGGCCGTTCTCGTAGTGTAATAATGGTTTACTTTAGGGATCTCGGGATTATAGATAAGCTTGGAATACTGGAATACTGGAAATGAAAAACAGTTGAAGAAAAAGTTTTTAATTAGATTAGATTTAACTTTATTGACATTGTGGAAAGTACAAGTACAGAGCCAGTGAAATGCAGTCAGCATCTAACAAAGTGCAATCTGGGAATGACAAAAGAATGACAACACTATGAAAATATGTGGTTCAATTAAATATAAATATAATTTCATACAATTCAGCAAAAATTATATTTAAATAATTAAAATGTAAAGATTCCGCACTATTTAAAGTTCAGTAATCAAACTATTTTTTAATGAAAAATGTTGTATTAAATTAGAAAAATGCCACATGTGGTCCACTAGTGGTCTCAGATGGACCACACTGTATTTTTATATTTTTATGCATTTATATTTATATATACAGTATATATATATGTGTGTGTGTGTGTGTGTGTGTGTGTGTATATATATTTATATATTTTTTAGGATCAATTCTCACTATTAACTAACTACTATGACTTTTCCTCAGTACATTTCTAATTACTGTTTATTAATAGTTAGTAAGGTAGTTGTTAAGTTTAGGTTTTGGGTAGGATTAAGGGATATAGAATATGGTCATGCAGAATATATTTTGCATTAATAAACTTCCAATATGCTAGTAATATGCATGCTAATAAGCAACTAGGTTATAGTGAGAAATGGTCCCTAAACTAAAGTGTTACCATCATTTTTTTTCTTCATGTCAAATGTCCTAATGACATCGAATGTAAAGAAAAAATGTGCAGTTTAGTGATAGTAGGCTATAGATGCCAAATAATTATTACACTGCAAATGACATGCTGTTTCAGAGCTGCCATTAGTTGAAGAATGAGAAAATAGAAAGAAAAGTTTGCATGCATTTGGAAAGCTCAACAGAATCAATGAATATGGAAATTTCTAAATGTGTGTGGGGGGGGTGTATAGATCTGTGACACTAGCTAAATAGAAATGCAAAAATACTGATTGGCCATTGGTCAGTCAGAACTAAAACTTCCACCATAAACTCACAGCACTGAATGAGCCAATCTTGCTGCTGTATGTCAAACTGGTCAGAATGCTTAAACATTATTATACTGTAGTTCATTTGCATATTAAGCTGAAAGAGAATTAAGTATTTTAACATCTAAAGTGCACATATGTCTAATGCATTGCAGGCCACTAAGCTAGAGATGAGGAAAAAGCAAGAAGACGAACAGAGACAGAAGCTGTACCAACATGACAAGCAAATGTACGTCAACATTTTTTCTACACCTTGCCAGATTTAAAGTGTGCTTTGTTTAAAGGAGGAAATAGGATGTTAAGCTGCACTACTGGCCATTGTCCAAAAACAATAAACCTGAATGCACAGGTTTATCCTTGGCCCAAGTTCAATTAAAAATATGCCTTTTGTTTAGAGCATGTCAAGAGATAATTCAAAACCATTGCAATGAATCCAACAAGATGCTGCTGGCAATGAAGCTTCTTTCATTATTTACCATTGTTTCATCACAAACCCAGCTTTATTTCCACCGAAGTCGAATACAAAAGAATAAATTAGATTCTCATGCTGCTCTTTATAATACAGTGAAAGCAAATGGCGACCAGAGGCTATTAAGCTCCAATTTGAATGAATGAATTAATGAATACATAAATACACAAATAATCATTAAAAAAGCATCATAATTGTAGTCCATAAAAATTCTGCACCATATTCTATATTTTCTAAAGTTTTTCTTCTTTAAAATTATTCCCTTTTGGCTTAACTTTTAAAGGGATAGTTCACCCAAAAATAAAAATGTTGTCATGTACTCACCCTCATGTCATTCTAAACCTGTATAAGTTTCTTTCTTATGTTGAATACAAAAGAAGATATTTTGAAGAACCAAACTGTTGTTGGTCACCATTGAGTTCCATAGTAGGGAAATAAATACTATGGAAGTCAATGGGGATCTTCAACTGTTTGATTACCAGCATTCTTCAAAATATCTGCTTTTATGTACAAAATAAGAAAGAAATTTAAACAGGTTTGCAACGACATGAGGGTGAGTAAATGATGACAACATTTTCATTTTTGGGTGACCTATTCCTTTAAATCCAAATCATAAAATATAAATATGTGCATATTAATTTTGGCAAATTGCGATTGGTTACAAAACACAGAAGAACCATAGATTCAAGATTCATGTTATAAAAGATTATTGCGATTAATCACATCCAAAATAAAAGTTACTTTTACATAATATATGTTTGTGTATTGTGTATATTTATTATGTATATATAAGTGCACACACACAGTATATATTTAAAAAATATTTACAAATATTTACATGTATATATTTATATTCATATAATTTATATCATATAAATATATTTAATATATAAACGTAACATATTTTTCTTAAATATACATGCATGTGTGTGTATTTATATATACAAAATAAATATACACAGTACACATAATTTTATATTATATAATTTTATAATATTATAAATATTATTGGTTATTCTGCTGTCCTTTTGTTTTGATGTTGGAATGAAAGACTATTTACGTTTACTCCATCGTCGTGCGCTATTGCTACAACCACGTTCCAAAACAGAATCCAGGACCTTAAAACAGTTTTTCACGGCGATCCTCTTTCTCTTATTTTTTTCATTTTTTGCTCTTTTCCCATGGATTTACTGCAGTCAAGTTCCTCTGCCTGGAGCAAGAGGATCGTTCCCTCAAGGACCATACGAGGGATTTTTAGAGCTCGCCCATCTATCTCACTACCCGGTGAACTGCCTGTGCATGTTTTATTACATGGGACTGAACAACGCCACTAAGACAAAGCTGTCCAGGCATGGTCCTCGAGGGAGTTTCACTGCATTCGTGGAGTGAGTGCTGTAGGAAAATGGACTGTTTTTCTCTGTTTGCCCAGCTGAGGAAGAAATCTCCAGCCCCGCAAACCCACAAAGTCCAGCCAGCAACCATCCACGATCGACGCGACGGAGAAGTTGCTAGAGCCCACCGCAGACGGAGAGCCTGAGCCCACTGTGACACGAGAGCCAGCGTGCAAAACCGCGACTGAGCCAATCATCGCCCCGGAGCCTGAGCCTCAAAACCGTTCTGACCAGTTGGGTGAACCCGCCCACATTCCCACCACTGAGGGTGAGCTGCAACTGGACATTATTTTGAGGAACTGATGGACATTTTTCAAGATAACTTAATAGACTGGTTTGGGGAGGTAATACCCAGTGCTCCTGAGTCTCCTATGTCTCCTGTGTCTCCGCTGGTTCCGTCTAGCCCTGAATCTCCTGTGTCTCTGCTGGTTCCCTCCAGCCCTGAATCTCCTGTGTCTCCATTGGTTCCGCCCAGCTCTTGTTCTCCTGTGCTCCCTCCCAGCCTCCCTCTCCCGCCTCCTCTCCTAAAACCAGCCAGTTCCTCAGCCCTATCTCCGCTGGTGCCTGTCAGTCCCTCAGCTCACCCTCAGTCAGCACCATCTGGGCGCTCTGATCCACCTCGGGACTTCTAGTCTCCAGCTCCACCTAGGCATGAGGATCCCCTGTCACTGCCTCCAGCCTCCGAGTCCTAGACTCCACCTCGGTCCTTCGACCCATCGGCTCCGCCTTGGCTCCTAGCTCCCTCGTCTCCACCGTGGCCCGTCATCCCACTGGCTCCACCGGGCTCCCTCGTCCCTCCGGCTCCGCCTTGGTCAGTCGTCGACCATCCGCCACCTCGGGACTCCACTCCTCTGGCTTCGCCTCGTCACTCCGTCCCTCTGGCTCTGTCAGGCTCCTCCTTCCCTCTGGCTCCGCCTTCATCCTGGGTCGCTCCGTCTCCATCGCTTGTCCCCAGGGTATCGTCTGCCAATCCTCCACCATGGCTCCTCCCTCCCTCCCTCCCTCGACTCCGCCCTGGGGCCTGGTCCTGGCTGGTCTCTGGACCAACATCTGGCACCTCCTGCTCCTGGCTTCCCCTTGGCTCCTCCAACCCTCCACTCCCCCTGGACTCATATAGACTAATATAGTTTGGTTCTGCCCCTCTCTGGTTCTTCGTCCTCCTCCAGAACCCCCGCCCTCCCTCCTGTGTTGGATTCTATGTGGTGCGAGGACGCGCCTTCCTGGGAGGGGGCGAACTGTCACGGTTATGGACTTTTGTTTGTGTTCCTGATCTCCAGTCTTTTGTTCCTTTGACCTAGTTTCCCTTAGTTGCCCTGATTAGTTCATTCTGTTCACTTGTGTAGCTTCCATCACCTTGTTAATCATCTCGTTTGCTCCTTTTGTTTGCCTGTCTTTATAAGCCTTTAGTTTCCGTCTACTCGTCGTCCTGGGTTGATGTTTATGAAATGGATTATGTGAGTTGATGTGGATTAGTTCTCCTGGTTATTCTCCTGTCCTTCTGTTTTGATGTTGGAATTAAAGACTATTTACGTTTACTCCATCGTCATGCGCTATTGCTACAACCACGTTCCGTAACAATTATATTATATTAATATATATTAAATATATATTAAATTCGATTAATATTTAATTATCTATAAAATATATATTTATATATTATTACAAAAATTAACTAATTAATCACACAAGTTGGTGTAAATAATCATGATTAATTACACCTAACATTAAAATGTTTTATAATGTTCACATTAAATATTAAAATTAATGTGGAAACAGCATTATTGTAAATGTTAGATATTTTATATACTGATACTGATGTCTATATTACGTATATTATTTTTAAATAAATTTTATTGTTTTTAACAGATGAATGAGATTTGAGAGCAGTCAAGACAGTCGGTGAAAAGCAACTTAAATTTCAGTCTTTTCCTCAGATGACTTACACAGTTCAGAACACAGTACATGTTTTGTTTTGTTTTTTATTTCTGGGAGAAAGAAAATCATATGGGTTTGGAACGACATGAGGATGAGTAAATGACGACAAAATTTTCATTTTTTGGATGAACTATCCCTGTAATTGCAATTATGTCCCTTCCTCCTGCAGGAAAACCAAGGAGTTTCTTCAAAGAATTGAGAGGTCCAGCAGTAGCGTTTCTATGGCAGCAAGCAATTCCATACCAGCATCATCCTGGGTAAGACAAAGGCCAAAAATGCACTGTGTGCTCTATAGGCCTGAGTTCAAGCCTCTTGTGAATAGCTGTGGCACTGAGGTTACAGCCCAAGGCACTGGAATAATTCACACCAATTGATCTGTCTTTGATGCATGTTTTCAAAGCAAACAGTGCTCGCTCGGGAGCTTTCCTTGACATGGCACACTGGACTGCAGCAAAGAGTCGGCCTGCTGCAGAGCTCGGTCCCCTTCAATTATCTCCTCATTAGCCTCACACCGGAGAGATCGCTGACTGAGTCCATCATAGAGCTTCCTCAGTTGTAAACACCCAGCCCTCCGTTTCACGATCAGCCAGCGCAAAGACGCAAGTGTTGCTTCTGTATGGTGAGGCAAGCAGAGTTCAGGGGACTTCCCAGAGTTCACAGCAAGCACGCCTAACAAAAGGCAGAGAGGGGGCTGTGAGAATGCAACAAAAAGAGAGACTGGTGTGGAATAACCTATATGGTTTGAGTGAAAGTACCTGGAAAGGAGCCAGAGGTTGAGCCTGTGACATAAGCAATCTGACAGGATGTGTTAAGAGGTGTTAATTACAGCTAAGCCACATGATTTCACTTGAATTCTGAGCAAGTTGGGTATGCTTCAGAATTCAGATATAGATCATGCAGTGCCTGTATTTTTATTTATTTTTTGGCAAACCTTTTCTTTAAAGTTCTGCTTGAAGAATCATCAAAAGTATGAAGATCTCCACCATGCTGGAGGCAGCAGAAATTCCTTTCATTAGGGAGCAATATTTAACCCCTTATTCTCAACTGGGAAAAGTTATGGCATAAAATCTAATCAAATGCAAATTAGCAGACAGGACAACATAACACAAGACTTTCAATGCTTTTGAAATAAGTATCATATGCTCACCAAGGCTGCTTTTGTTAATATGTTAGTATATTTTAAATTGTAATTTATTCCTGTGATGCAAAGCCGAATTTTCAGCATCTCCATTACTGCAGTCTTCAGTGTCACATGATCTATCAGAAATCATTCTAATATGCTGGTTTGCATATTACATAGTATTGATTTGCATGAGAATTTTTTTTTACTATTATCAAAGTTGAAAACAGTTGTGCTGGTTCTATTTTTGTGAAAGTTAAAAAGGGCAGCATTTATTCAAAGTAGAATTCTTTTGTAACATCATAGCTGGCACTTTTGGTCAAGCACTGAGGTTCCCTTAATACATCTCTCTCAACTAATCAAATCTGGTGCTGTTGCATCATTAAAATATTTTCACATATATATATATATATATATATATATATATATATATATGTGTCATCTGCAGCATGCTAGTCTATTCGCAGCATACAATGACTTTAAAATACCATTTTCCCACTTCCTCCCCAGCTCCACCTGTCTAGATCTGGTACAGGTATAAATGTACTGTCTGTTGTGGATAATATATTAATTTTATATTCATTCAGTATATTCATATTTTTAGGTATGTTTTCTTCAAGTTCATTGCTTTCAAAGCTATTTTTCATCACAAATCATGTCATATAGTACACATTCACAACACACTGATTGTCCTAGTGATTACAGTGTCTACAGAGATCACTACAGAGGCCTAGAATTTAATGTAATGAAAAGTACCAAATGTTAGGAAACAGATCAAATAGAGAAGTCTGCTGCGGGGATGTTTTTGTCACATTTAGTGGCAATTTGCCCTGGTTAATTTCTGACCATGACTGGTGGGGATTGAGGGCTGGGCTGACCATGAGAGGTTTGAGGGCTGCCTCTTATGTTGTACAAACCACTAAAAGTGGCATCTGACAGCACTGTTAAAAATCGGCATCGTCTCGTGTCAAGCAAAGAATGTTTTGTTGTGCGGCTTTCAAAACTGGTCTGCAATTGTTCCCTTTTTGAGACTTTTGAGGACTTCCCTCTGGATGACTAATGGGGAAAATCCTTCTAATAGACAGATCGTGCATTAGGACTGTAGGGCCATGGTACACAACACATGCAACAGAGTTTTGAGCAGAACATTGGCTCTCTCGGCTTACTGGGAGAGGAGGCCCTTAGATTGTGCTTTCTCTTGCTGTATTGACTTAAGTGGCTGGACAACCTCCAGGCCAAGTAATGAAATGCTCCAACCTAAATGTCGTAGGCCCGCCGATCAAAGTGTTTGTGGAAAGACGGGTTCTTGATGTGGTTTTGTGGCCACTGAGAATTGTTATGCTTTCAGTGATGCTTCCACAAGACAAATTAATCTCCTCCATATCCTCTGTTTGTGCAAAGGATCCTTTGTATTGGCTTCCCAGGATGCCAGGCCCAGGTCGTCCCACCTATTCCCCTTACTCTCTGGCCATTTCAAACAGAGCGGCCCCTGCCTGCTGTCCCCGGGCCGTCTGACCAAACACACAAAGGATCTCTTCAGCTTCCAGGCTATCTGCTCCCCCCTCCTCACAGAGTCGTTCTGAACAGGGCCATGAGAATCTCAGAGAAACATCACAGCTGACACCCAGTTTTGTGCTGAAATATGCGATGGGCTCACCCTCAGGGGTTGTATTGTATGGACGAAGGCTGGAGTCCAGTGTGGATTTGTCTAAGGATGGTTCACAATTAATGACTTAATGATTGGTGTGCTCTGTTTAGTTGTAATGATGTGTGCACACCAAATGCGAAGTGAATATTTGCATTGCTTTACCAAAAACATTCTCGCAGGATGTTTTTCGTGTCACTCGCGCGTATAAAAACATTGTGTAATTCTCTCCTCCATTTTCTGATACAACCAGATGTGTCAAACCGAGCATGTCAATAAGCTATAACAACTATAACAATAACAACGCGTCATGTGAATTTTCCGTTTGAATTGAAACTTTTCAACAGAAGATGCGGTTGAGGTGTATATCGTGCGTTCGTGGTAATTGCTTTGGCCAATGCACGTCATTCACATTGGCCGGCGCGAATTTGCGTCTTTACATTGACTTTGTATTTAGTATGACTGTAAGGTCCGCCCACTGGTCCAACGACGGTAGCCAGTGATCCGGTAGAAGGATTCTTGCGTGTTGCTGTCTTTCCTTTTTATGCAGCACAACAATATTAAATTAAATAAATTTTCTTATGTTTTACCTCTTTTATTCATCTGACTCCAAAAATTAAAAGGGTTAGAAGAGTTGTTTGTTACTCATTAAATTTAGGTGAATGTTTGATCATTCTGTTTATCTTTACTTTATATTTGCTCATTCATTAGGAATCTATGTCGCTCACGATCACAAACTCGCCAGTCTGATCATTAGCCAGAGGTTATGACTAATACTATTTAATAGGTCGCCCATGCTTACCATTCTTTAAGTAGTAGTTCTGTTTAGTCCCCTACAGTTACCCATGTACAGTTTAGTTAAAGCTCAAAACAATAATCAGCGGTTATGCTAGTACCATTTGTCAATCAAACAATATAAAACCATTAATCAATCATATAAAACAGTCAGTAATACCGAAATGAGAGAATGTATAAATGTTACCTGATAATGAGGACTACGCAAGACAAATATGCGGGAGGTCTTTCTACAGATTCCCTGAGCTCTTTGTTACTCTCTCTTAAATATCCAGAAGAACCCCGTAGATACCAAATGGTATTGTCTGTTTATTGCAGCGTTTTAGCATATCACTTTAGGGGGTTTCAAGTGAATTATCTTGATTTCTGTGGGAGGCTGTACCTCATTTACATACAGAAGGTAATTTGTGTGAAAGACCTGGGAGTAGTCTGCTTTCAATATTTATGGCTACCTGTTCTATTGTTAAGAGAATGAGACCCTTTACCAGACACACAGAGACCTTTCAAATGACATCAACCATGAATTGTTGCATTGTAATATACTCTGATTAAGAAAGGTTTTGGTGACCTCTACAGTGTCCTGTGTTCAGATGGAAATGAGGGGAGAGAGGGGGAGAGTGCGTAAAGGGAGTGGAGGTAGAGGGTTATGCATAAGGTGTGGAGCTTTTGTTTCTCTCAGTTGGGTGTGTTGCTTTAGGCTTGCGAGACAGAGTTCAGGTGTTGATTCTCGTGAGAGTTCCTTGTTTTTTCAGACTGTGACCTTCTTCTGATCCAGCCAAATGGCATCAATAATCTTACAGTATGTATTTGCATTTAGTACTTTGTATGTAATTAAATTAGACAGGAAAACCCTCTAAGAGAAATTGCATCTTTAAAGCACTACACCCTAATTTTTTAAATTAAACAAATCAATAAAAAATATTATTGCAATAATACTATTATACTGTAAAATAAGTAAATGTATTATTATTATTAATAATAAACAATCAAATTTTTATTTTGGTGGAAAGCTGCGAGGCTTCAAAGCTCTTTAAAAAAAACATATTTATAAATTATTCTAATTACAACTTTGGAAGGATGATTGCTGCTTGTTGTGTTTTAAAATGCACATTAAAAACAACTCAGTCTCACTAAACTTGTAAGTAGAGCAGCATTTACTGTGAACCATTTTGCTCTGAGCCGCTGAAAACAGCAGATCATGAGCTGCTCATGTGTAAATGAACACAGAGCCATGCTAAGCAGCCAATTATCATCTAGTTGGCGAGTATCAGTTTGCTGTTTTTACTCGTATTTGGTGCATTCATTCATAAAATAAATGTATTTGAAAATGCAGTAATTTTCTCTCAGATTTCACAGTTCAAGTAGGTCAAATTACAGGTCACAAAAAAGGAAATCCATATTAATATGGAATAATCACATCCCTGATAAGTAATCAAAGCTGCAGTCCATAACTTTTTTGTGTTCAGAATTTACAAAATTAATATAATAAAGTGCATCATGAATTCATTTTCCAAACCGTGTTTTTGGCTTATCCTGATCACTACAATACACCTATAACAAGTTATATTCAGACTATTTCAGACTGGTACTGGTGGAACCACTGGGAGTAGCCCAGTACCTGCATGATTCGTCATAGACATAAACAGAGAGAAGTAGCTCCGGCTACAATGTTCTTCCGCAAGACGCACGCAGTTCTGTTTATTAACCGCTAGAGCACCAAAAGTTACAGATTGCAGCTTTAAATACTGATTACTTCTCAGAACTCACAGATAAATCCTAAAGTTCTGGATGTTGATAACTAGTTTACTTGATAATAACTGCCTCTGATGTCTTTAACCTTTAACCTTGCAAATTTTGTCAAAGCCATTGACTGGTTCTTCAATTTTACTACTCGTTTTAATCTGGAACCTTTTCAATATGGCCTTTTTCCGCTGGACTACATCTCTGCCACAATTCTGCGTGCGAAAGATCATATTTTGAGTGTGCAAAAGTGCGTTTTGCACGAGCACGAACTGAGTTTTGTGGAGAAAATGTTTGTCTCGCAAAGAAGAAAGTATTTCAAGCGCACGAAAATCCATTTTGCATTTTAAAATAAGTTTTTGGATTTGTGCAGACCTTCTCTTTTGCACGTGCAACGTTTCACTAGCTTGCTCCCTTGATGCCCTCAGTGCTCTCTAAATGCTAACGGCTCGCTTGCTCAACACAACCCAGCGTTACAATATGCCATAATTCCAGCCAATCAGAGACGAGGCTGC